GTTCACTTCCAGATGAAAAAAGTTGAGTATAATCACGGTACTTTCGGAAATTTAATTTATGCATATAGGTAATGAACTTATACCTAACATTTTCAGGTATAATAATTCATTGGAAAGTAGGCAAAGGAGTAGGTTATTATGTTATGTTAATTCAGAAGTAACTTATCATATTACGCTTGAGAAAGCTATTGTATAGCGAAACACGTGTCGCTGTTTTGTAAACCACTTCATACTGAAAAATCATGCAATGAAAGTTATTAATGAGTTTTTATATGGATTTTCATGAAGTATCGGCTGGTTCTATTCAATAACAAAGGAAATGATTTCGAAAATGGGTTTTCGTAACGATTCTTAACTAGAATTTCATATTTATTGCCAATGTGAGGCATTAAATCTCAGGAGGCAAGCAATATGGACAACCATTTGACATGTTTTCAACAAAATACTTTCACCAATTAGTACAGAGCACGAGATTACACGGAAAAGATGGGAGAAAATCTCAAAAAACTCACAAGACTATGATATTTTTCGAAGACTTAAGAGAAACGAACAAGTAAGACGCTCCCAAGTAGAAAAAGAATAAACATATTTTGTACAGAAACGACAGAGAAACTGCTGAAATTGTAGTGAAAAGATCATAATAAGATTGTTTGGACTCCTTGAAAGAGCAGAAGACGTGTAGGTGGTGCTTTCTACAAAGAAAAGCGAAACTCACATAAAATTTGCATGTATACCGTCATAATAAATTTTATCAACCAATTCACGTCCAAATATCGACATTTTTCCAAACAAACATTACGAAGAAATCTGACACACGTCGAATAAAGTGACTTAACTGAATGAGATTCAGTGTGGATACATTTTTGATCGAAAAGAAGTATATTCGATACATTTTCTCTGGACATTTATCAAATAAACATTTGAAGAATGCTTATAAAATAGATCTATATAATCAAGTTGGAGATCTGAAAAAATATTCATCAAAATTTAAAAAAAATATATTTCAATCATCTCCTGATGACGCTAACTTGATTAGACAGTTTTCTAATTCCGGCCTGTTTTCAGCATAGTAAATAAGCCCATCACAAATTCGAAATCATTCATTTATTTCATTACACTCTCATTTCTGGAATTCGTAGAAAGCAAACTCTAGGCTCTCCCCTTTCCGATAATATCATACTGCTTTTTTTCATCATAAAATTGGATGTCATGTCCTCACGAGGAAAACAATCTACTGAATTTAGAAGTTATGCGAGTGAAGTGATTTTCAATCATGTGGTTTTTAAGTCAGTAAGTAAGTAAGTTCAGAATAAATAAGTATGAAGTGATTCTCGATATAAATATTAGTTACACCATAGAAGAAGGGCGGGACCGGTTTTCATGATATTTGATTTGTTAGATTTATATTCGCCAGAAACAGCAGAAAAACTTTTGAAACTTAATGAATTTCCCTGAAAAAACTAATAAAAAAGGAAGAATTGAAAGAGAATAATTGAAAATAACATTTATATTANGAGTCATTCGAGTACTGTCACTTATCTCCGCTTTCCTCTTCCCGCTTCCGGATTTAGCGTGAGATAACCGTTTGGCGATAGTTGGCCATATTTTGCTTGATTATAGTTTTCATATGTTTCGTGAGGTTGCTATGGATAGTTTTATCGGATCTGAAGCAAGTTCTGATGTTGTAGCTTGAACCAATTCTTCTTATCCTGTAAACACAAGTCTGTTCCACTATCGCTTTGGAGTAGCTATTCCGTTGAAGATCATTTTTGATGATGTCTAGTTCTAGTTCTAATAGAGTCTTGAAAATTACTCTATAAGTCAATTGATGGTGGTTGGATTCATGGTTCATATACTGTCCCGTGTGAGTGAGATTGTCAGTATACAGATGTTTCCCACTCAATGCCGGTCCTCTTCACCTATAATTCTGAGAATGACAAATCGTTGTGGACTTTCTTCTCCATTGTGAAAGTAATGGAAGGTCTTACGCGGTTGATGTGTTTCAGGAAGGCGTCTAGTTCAGTATTTCCGTGGTTCCATATTATGAAGGTGTCGTCAACGTATCTCAACCAGACACAAGGTTTTTTGTGGGCTTCTTCAATGGCTAGAGTTTCATACCACTACATATATATGTTGGCTATGGTGGAAGTGGCGATCCCATTGGTAGTCCCTCATCTTGTGTAAAGAATTGGTCCTTCAATTGGAAATAACCATTTCGTACACAACATCATAGTAATTCCATAATTACTTCTATAGGTAAATTCGTTGCATCTTCCAGGTCCCCATCTTCGGATAGCTTTCTCTGTATGATTCGTCGAAACTGATTAGTTGATCTTGCTGTGTCACTTCAATTGCTCCTAATAGTTCGACAAAATGCCTTGACGCGTACTGCTATCTCAAGAATTGCAATTACAATTATAAGTGCGAAAAATCCTATATCGATAAAACTAAGAGGACATTGAAGGTTCGCATTGCCGAGCACAAGAAACACACACAGCAAGGGAAAACCAGCAAATCAGGAATAGCACAGCATGTTTGGACCCATCAACAAAACATCGAGTGGTTCCAAGCTGAGATCATACACAGGGAGGAACATTGTGTCACCCTAACTGGTATACACGTGTTTCGCCTTAAGACACTTGCCCTAAGGCTCTTCAGTACCAAATTGGATAACATTATAGAAAATACTTCTATAGGTAAATTCGTTGTATCTTCCAGGTCCCCATCTTCGGATAGCTTCCTCTGTATGATCTGATCTTGCTGTGTCACTTCAATTGCTCCTAATAGTTCGACAAAATGCCTTGACGCGTACTGCTATTTCAAGAATTGCAATTACCGTATACCCTATAAGTGCGAAAAATCCTATATCGATAAAACTAAGAGGACATTGAAAGTTCGCATTGCCGAGCACAAGAAACACACACAGCAAGGAAAAACCAGCAAATCAGGAATAGCACAGCATGTTTGGACCCATCAACAAAACATCGAGTGGTTTCAAGCTGAGATCATACACAGGGAGGAACATTGGTTTAGGAGAAAATTGAAATAAGCCGTATACAATGTATTCAGCCAAGCTAGCGTATAGATACGCAACATAATATGGAAACCCATAATCAAGCGAAAAATGGCCAACACCCGCCATACGATCATCTTCCGCTAAACATAAATAGTCATCTCTCGGGGGAATTAGTTCAGTCGTCATCCGAAGACGATTGTGGATACTAACAATCTCTTGATTTTTCATTTTAATTTTTTGTTTAATTGTTCTGTTTTCACTTGTATTTCATTTCACTGTTATTTCATTTCAGGGCTTTTATTTTGCTTAATATAAATGTTAATTTCAGCTATTTCTTTTGAATTATTCTTTTTCATTAGTTTCTTCACAAATTTCAAATAATTTTATATAATATCAGACAATGGAAGTCAAAACATCAAACATTGTCAAACACCTTCAAACAACTTTCGGAACATTCTCAAAACTACAAGAAAAAGTTTAACATAGAACAAATAGACGATGTTCAGTTTTTTAGGTTAGGTGAAGTTACGAAGACAATCGATGTTATAACATTTGTGACAGAACGTTCACGAATAATTGTTATTTATGATGCAAAAAAGCTAAATATTTTACAACGAAGCCGTCATGTTATTGAAGTGACGAGTATTGCGAATCAATATACTGCAGATGAGATAAAAATATTGGAAAGAAGAGCATTATTTACATTGTTATCAATTCTACTGTGCTTCGAGTGGATCTTTCGTTTTGTTTTTCGAACTACTGTTTCACTGTTCAATAGTTTGATAGTTGAAATATATCCAACTCAATTTTTGAATAGTAAAAATGTACATCGTGGAAATTACGATATATGTGATATATATCTATAGAATACAATTTTTCACTGTTTTTGCATGAATCAACTGTTTTAATAATATCAAAAAATCTACTTCTGAGCATGGAAATAACCAACAATACTAGCGGTGTTATTATGCCATCAATTCTGATGCGGTGCAAAGTTCGCCGGCTCAGCTGGTTATTTATAAATTCTCACTGCAATTCAATCAGGTACCTAACAAAGTACTAACTCGAGAAAAATTACTGAAACTTTCATTCTCATTCAGACTCAAAGCTAAGTATTCATAACTTACAAGCCAATGAAGGCAGGCCTCTACTGGATAAATTCAGATAGATCATAAATTTTCTGACTCGTTTCACGAAATCACGCTGATCAGTGCTGATGACCTCTCTATCTCTCTGTCTCTTCTTTTATGGCTTTTGCTTTCATTCAAGCGTATCAAGCCATGTGCTGACAATCAGTTTTGACCATTGCTTGCAATGTGTCGTTCACATTCGCATCATCGGTCGACCGAATGTCGCGAATGTCGGACAAGCTCGTGACTGATATGGATCATCGATTGTTATCGGATCTCCTGATCCAACGAAAGTTTTCACAACGTGGCATACGATCCATTGAATTTCTGAAGCAGGGTGATTTTTGAACACGTTTTCATGAATCTTCATCGCGCTAAACTGTAAGAAGCACTGAAGAAAAAGTGGAGTGTATGAATAATTTTTGTTGAACTTCTCTTGAATTGAAGAGGGTTGGAACTTTTTATGTTTTTTACCACTTTTATTTGTAACTAACGTTACTGCAGTTTCGTCCTATAAGGTCATTCTCAAAGTTATGCACTAAGTATAAGGATATTTTCAAACTCATACATAATGTATGAGTTTGACAATGTCCTTATAGGACGAAACAGCAGTAACGTTCGTTACAAATAAGAGTGCTAAAAAACATAGAAAGTTTCAATTCTCTTTTCTTCATCCATTAATTTATTACCAAAAATAACTTTAATTGTTCTTTCTAGGTGAACAGGTTGTATGTACAAGAATATATCGTTTCATTTTTCTCCTTTCCAATTTCTTTTCTATATGATGATATCTAACTGTACGCATAAATGTGAGAGTGATATTTGTTTGCATTTGATCATTAATACTGATCATACTTTGTGAAAAGGAATCACACAATGCGTTTTTTAAAGGTTCGAAATTAGATGGACAGGGTGCTAAATATTGGGATGGTAAGGGAGGGAAAGGATCTACAAAACCAGTTCTCATTCAGATTAAGGGAAGCGGAGATTTCAACAACATCCATTTACTGAATTGTCCTGAACGATGTGCCTCTGTTCATGGATCACATCTCTCACTGGTTGGCTGGAATATCGATGTCTCTGCTGGAGATAAAGTAAGATAGATATCTGTTCTATTTTTTGATTTGAACTGCCTTCACTGAATCTTTTTCTTTGGACAATGATTAACAGAAAAATACTTACACAAATATTTTTTCAAAACAAAATTTGTAGTAACGGAGTCTTGGCCTAACATACTGATGGTTGGTGACCCATTTTCTAATTCAGTTTCAACAATATCCACGAATTCCTCATAAAATACGATCTATGACATGATTTGAATTCACACCCAACACACTGATGATTTAAATTGATAGTGTGCTCTCTTTATGCCTCATCCTGACAATGACGATGACTTTACCAGGATATTTTTTATAATTACTAACCTCAAAAAAATTTCAGAACAAATTGGGTCACAACACCGATGGTTTCGATGTTTCGGGAACTGATATAACAGTGAGAAATTCCGTTGTGAAAAATCAAGATGACTGTTTAGTTGTGAATCATGGAAATAACATGCATTTTCAAAATCTCTACTGCTCTGGTGGACACGGGCTTAGTCTGTCCATTGGTATGAGTAAGACGTCATATAACGATAATGTGGCTCGCAATATCACTTTCAAAGACTGCACCGTTGTCAATTCCGATAACGGAATCCACATCAAAACGCACAAAGACGGCACCGAAGGACTCATTCAAGATGTCACTTATAAAAATATTACTCTCCACGGTGAGTATTTTCCCTGTAAAAATCATGTCATTTACTAGACGGACTCAAAGAAAATATGTGTATTTCAAAATGTGTAGTCATTTCATTCCCTGAATCCATAGATTCAGTTCATTACCAAAAATGGTAATCATGATATTTTCATTCTTGTAATCAGTTTGTAAATTTCTTTGGAAAAAAATTTATGCCATCAAAAATATAAATTGATAACGGTGTGACCACCATATCCAAAATGACAAAATTCTTTAGATCTAAAAAATTGAACGGTGGACAGCGTATATTAATTTCCGAATATTCTTCAATTCAATATTTCATGAACTGTCAATGTCACTGTCAACATCTTTTTGTGATTCCTGTTGTAAATCTTTTAAGAATTCTTTTGGTTCGAAGATACATAATGGAAAAATTCATCAAAATTCAAGAAATAATACCAACATTACTGTTACCAAAACCATCGATGTCTCAAATAACGAAAATGCTCGCATACCTTTCCACAAGAGTATGGCTGCTTTGAAACGTAATTCTATCATTTCTAAGAGGATACCGAAAGCTGTTAGATTTCTTTCTGCTTCTGTCCTCTCGAATACCAACGATGAATGTGTCAAATACAATTCCATCGAATCCTGGGAGAAACTTCTTTCATTTGGTTACAAAAACTTCAAAATTCCATATGATAATGGCAAACGCAAAATATCTCTAGCAAGTATTATAAAAAAAACTTGAATCAAACAACATTGGAACATGCTGAAATGAAATTTATCAAGAAATCTAAAAATCCGGAGTCTATACTAATCAAGATGGTGATCAATAAAGTATCAGATGGAGATCTTTCAGGAGCTGTGAAAATTTTATGTTCTGATGATAAACTGGCAAATTTTAGCACGGAAACCTTTCGTGAACTCCAGTCCAAGCATCTTCAGTCAAAAACTGGAATTTGTTACCAAACTAACTCCTTTTCAACTAGTCCTTTAGTAGTAAATGAGAATGAAGTTCGTCTAGCAATTATGTCTTTTCGTACTAGTTCCTCTGGAGGTTTGGATTCTTTGAGGCCATCTCATCTGCAGGACTTGATAAGTTATAGTGCTGGTTCTGTTGCATCGAAAATTTTATCATCGCTAACAGCCCTTTGTAATGTTTTGCTATCAGGTACTGAGAACGAAGAAATTTGTCCCATTTTATTTGGTGCTTCATTATGTGCTTTGAAAAAGAAAGATGGTGGAATTAGACCGATTGACGTCGGCAATGTGTTTCGCCGTTTAGCTGCAAAACTGGCTTCATTCAAGCTGAAGGAAAAATTAGGAAATATTTTTCGTCCATTTCAATATGGTTTTGGATCTCCAAGTGGTTGTGAAGCCGTATCCCATGCTGCCCGAAGATATATTAATGAACACGAGTCCAAGGAAGGAAAAGTTTTTCTTAAATTGGATTATAAGAATGCTTTCAATATGCTGAATCGGGACTTTATCTTGAAATCGGTTCAAAATAGTGTTCCAGAGTTATATCCTTTTGTATTTCAATGCTACTACCAGCCTTCAATACTGACATTTGATCAAAACACAATATCATCAGAGCGTGGAGTACAGCAAGGGGATCCATTAGCACCTGCTCTCTTTTGCCTGTCTATAGACAATATCATCAAAAATTTAAAAACAGAGTTCAATGCTTGGTATTTAGATGACGGTTCTCTGGGAGGAGACTATAAGGAAGTTCTCAATGCCCTTTCGTCTGTTATTAAAAAGTCAAAGGAAATTGGGCTTGAACTAAACTTCCATAAATGTGAACTTCATTTTCTAAGTGAACCTGATTCAAATATTTCGAGAAAATTCGATGTCGAATTGTGGAGTGGAAGTAGACACCCGAGGATATCATGGATTGAGTTGTAGATATAGCGCCGGGCGCTTTTCCCGTCATCAAGCTGTAAATGATGTCATCAAACGTGCCTTAGGTTCGGCAAATATACCTTCCATCTTAGAACCCCCAGGCACTTGCAGCGGTGATGGGAAACGACCAGATGGCATGACTCTCATTCCTTGGCGGAAAGGAAAACCGGTTGTCTGGGATTTCACATGCGTCGATACTTTGGCTCCTTGTCACGTTCCTTCGACTTCTGTATCCAGCGGTGCAGCAGCTTCATCAGCGGAATTGTCAAAAACACGGAAATACAATTATTTGGGAGATAATTTCATTTTTTATGCAATAGGAATTGAAACATTTGGTACCTTAGGACCCCAAGCATTGGAGTTCATTCGTGAAATCGGCAATAGGATATCCAAAGAAACGAATGACCCAAGAGCTACCTCTTTCTTGATTCAAAAAATTAGCATTCTGATTCAAAGAGGAAATGCAGCTTCATGTTCCTCAATCAAAAACCCTAAGTGAATTATCAATGTTTTCCATGAACAAAATGTATCGGCATGTACAGACAGTGCAAGAACTGGAGTTGTGCAGTTTGGTAGAAGACTCGCAGCAAAACCGTCAAGCTTTGACAAAAAAGGAAGTGGGAACTCTAAAAGAGGCTGAGTTTGGTCCTCTGGCTGAGCCCTCAAACGAACTAATATCTAATTCAGTTTTGAGCAGTTTTGCTTCGAATTCTTCATCCCACCAGTCCAATGAAGGGGTGAATCATCCTATCCGTGTTTACTCAGAAGGAGATAGTAGTGGCAAACGTAGTTGCAACAATAGATCGGTGATACATTCTTCAATCAAAACTCTTGGGTTCAATGGTTTAAAAAATTTTGGAAACACCTGTTTCATGTTTATCAAACACGGGATGGTTGCTGGAATACCTAAAAAGGATGCATACATGGAAGATATCGATATTAGTATTTCTAGTATGAAAGGTGTTTTAATCAAATCGTTCGCGGAAGTTATCAAGGAATTATGGTCAGAAGATTCATCTGATAGAGTAATTAACACAGTCTACTTCAAAAATCAGATTCAAAGATTTGCCCCTCGATACATGGGTTCTGCCCATCAAGACGCCCACGAATTCCTTCGATATCTTTTAGAAGGTTTACATGAGGACCTCAACAAAATTACTGAGAAACCTGAACCAATCTTAAGTGAGATTGACGAAAAATTGAGCGATAACGGAAAAGCACAAGAGTCCTGGCAGAGATATTTGAATATGAACAACTCCAAGATTGTAGACAATTTCGTTGGTCAATTAAAATCCACTATGAAGTGCACACACTGTGGACACTCATCAGTAATCTTTGATCCTTTCTGGGATTTGTTCCTTTCTTATACCACAAAGATCTGGCCAAGTGAGTTTGTCACATTGCTTGGATTCTTTCACAAGAGAGGAAACTCTGGATGGAGATGAAAAACCAATGTGTTCGAGGTGCAAGCAAAGGAGAAAATGTACAAAGTCCTTATCAATCTATAAGTTTCCCTGTATTTTAGTAATTCATTTGAAACGATTCTCTCCGACGGAAAGGTTCAGTGGCAAATTGAATGTTTCCATTGACTTTTCTTCAGATGGATTAGATATGAGCAGTTATGCAGCAGAGAATATGGCTCCTTGTCATTATAATCTATATGCACTTTCAAATCACAGTGGGACTACTTACAACGGACATTACACAGCATATTGCAGACACCAATATAGTGGCACATGGCATGAATACAACGATTCACAGGTGTTCCCAATTTCGCCAAAATCAATTGTGAGCAATGAGGCATATGTCCTCTTTTATGAACAGGAGGGAACGAAGCAGCAGCATCTTTGATGTGTTTTTTTTTTTTCTTCTTTCTTTTTTTTTCTTCTTTCCTTTTTTCTTAATAATCTTAGTTCTTTGAATTGATTTGTATTTATAAGAAGATTATATGAATAAATCGGCTTCCTTCGTCGAGGTAAAGCGGACGTATTGCGGACGTGAGAGCGAGGGGTCATTTATATCCTATCATCAGTGTGAGATGGGAAAACTTCAAAGTTGACACATACTTTATTCTAAAAGTCTATTGGACCCATTTTCAATCAAACTTTTCGACCTCTGAGAAAGTGGTGGCAGAAACTCCCGATACAGTAGTATGTAGATTGGTGAACTACTAATATTCCATCCTACTCTTTTCTGAACCTAACGTGATGTTCGAGGAGGACTTCATTGGAAGCATCAACCTGTATCACCCTCAATGTAGGGTAAGGCAATACCGGTGTCTCGTCAATGCCGTAGGAATGTCGATTCATTTGTATTTTTTTCATTATGGTAATATAACCAGAGTAACCACGCCTAAGAGAAAAATCATTTTAATTTAAAATTCCAAAACCTAGTCACATAAGACAACTTGGTTAATATCTAAAAAAGTAGTTTTTATTAACGCGCTGCTTCTATTCAATGAAATAATTTAAGCTATTTTTATGATAAACAAAATTTGTACTCTGAGTAAATAACATTCGACCATATTTTCGCATGTAATGATTTTGTCTGTTTTTGACTTGTCAATGAGTTTATTTCAATCCACTTATATATCAAATGTTGTTGACATAAATAATCAATACCAAAAAGTATTTCCATTTTCAATGAAATTACTCTTCTTTAAATTCTTTGAAATCTCCATAACTGTGTTACAGTTTTTGTGTTTCACGGAACACTTGGAAATAATATATCTCTTTGGTCCAAGGCATATGTATTTTATTTTATTTTTCAGATATAAGAAATTATGGTTTGGAAATTCAACAAGACTATCCTGATCACGATGGACACCCAGTTGGAAATGTTCCAATTAGGGGCCTGACAATAACAGATGTGAAAGGCACCATGACTGGAAAGAAGTCAGTACCGGTAGAAGTCGTTTGCGCAACAGGAGCATGTTCTGATTGGATTTGGTCAGAGATTAAAATCTCAGGAAATAAAAAGCCTTGTTCTATGAACTATCATCCATCTGGATTTTCCTGTTAGTGGTTATTGGAATATAGTACACATGAAATATATTGAATTTATTTTCACCATGATAGTAGATTGATGAAAAAATTCAGTTCACCATTATTCTTTTAAAATTACCTTTCACCCAAAGTGCTTATTGATACTGTACTGTTGGCATTTCTCGAAATGAATTTAACTTAATCCTAATGAGAACATCATCAATTAACCAATTTTTCAACAATACGTAAACAGAACTCATTATTCCTTCCATTGAAATTATAGAATCATTTCAAGTCAATAATGAAAGTCTTGATAATTCCATGTTATGATTTTTAATCAACTAGAGCTTTGATGAATTTTTGTTTATCAACTCGAGAAGAAAATGAAGGATGAAGTTATTTTCATTATATACATGAAACTGAACCTAATAAGGATCAATAAATGGAAGTCAATCATCCTTCACTGTGTCCAGATAATGAAAAATTGATTTTCTGTGGTGTAATAAAATATCGAAAAAATATGTAGTCCACGAAATCTAAATTTACTGGAAAACCAAAATTAACATGACAGACATGTACAGACAGTAGATTTAATCATTGCCAAAAGAGTGATCGTTGATGGCATTTTAAATTTTGTTCATTCCATTCAAATGAATAATTGATGATGTTTCCATATGAATGCGTTTTTCAAAATTCAACATGGGTTTCAAAATTTATAGCATCGCTGTGCTGTGAAATTTTTTCCATATCTTCCGTTCGATATCTTAATAAGATAAGATTTCAATAGTCATGATTGTCAACAATCTGTTATGAAAAAAACTTGAAGATGGCGCTGGCTGGTATGCTTTCAGATTGGAAAAAAATGATGATAATAATAATGATGATGATAATAACAATGATGATGAATCTAATGATGATGAAATATGAAACTACGCAGCTGAAGTTTTTTACATGGAGTGATAGAAATCATTCTTTAGAGTATTGAAGACATTGTCATATATTATATTTTCTTTTGTTAAATCATAGGTTCTCCTTTATCTCTATACCAATTATGAGGTTGATTGATTCTCAAGGCTTACTTGCGATTGAAAATGACTAAAACAAAACAAAGTAATGAATTTGTTCATCTGTGCTTGATAAGTAGAATTTGGAATATCTGGCGTGAAATGAATCTATTGAAAACATTTTTTCCTGAATGACTGAAACTACTTCTAACAGCTATGTCAACCAAATCATCTGAAGGAACATTTCGTTCAGGCCAGTCTACACTCCCTACACTGTAGATTGATTGACTAACGCCTATCAGAAAACAACTGATACCTTGACTGAAGGGCATTGGATTATATTTGACAGGTGTCACTGCAGAAATCTTCACTGAAGTAATTCCTGCATATGCTGTTGACGATACAACTGCCGGAATCCATTTTTAAATGTTGAACGGTCACATTGTCAGACCGGTACAATGAACGTAATTCGAATTTTAATTGTAGAATATCATCGACTTTATGTTGATGATGGCCACTACCTGGCACTGACGAAAGGTCAAATAGCCCGAAACCGGTCTGTAAGTGAGCCAGTTCAATAATTGAAAATAAATTCTGGCAGATGTATCGCCAACAACATATTCAGGAAATACTTCAGTGAAGGTTTCTACACTGACACCTGTTAGATATAATCCAACGCACTTCGTGGTATCAGACAGAATAGTTGTTTTTTGATAGGTCTCAGTCCATCAACCTATAGTATAGGGAGTTGAGACTGGCCTGAACGAATTGTTCATTTAGATGATTTGATTTGTAGTTCATTTAGATGATTTGATTTATAGCTAGTCTCCAACTATATGCCCACTGACTATATGTGAAAAGCTATGTCAATGTTCATATATGCATCTAGTCAAGTCATTACCTTGCATACCAAGATCATACAATCAATTTCTGGTATTTTGTTATTGTTCCTATTGTTATTTGCTACCTGACTGGAAGCTTATCCCAACCTGTTTTCTATCTGTGAATAAGTGAGGGTATGAATACATTTCATCCCTGATTTTTCTGTTCGTTAACTTTGAAAGCATCTAAAAACGTGTTGGACACCAGGACTCCACAATTTCGAGCATTTCTCACATTCTGTCGGTGACACTCTCTAAATTTTCTCATCTGTGGTAGGCCTCCAAGATGTTGAGTAATCTATCTGGTCAACTGTAATTGGTTTGAAGGTCTGGATCACTGGATACTTACCTAACAAAGCACGGTCATATTATTGACACTTTCCAACACTTTCTTCATTAAAAAAAGTGTTGGAATCTCATCCACTGATAATTATGATATATCAAATTCATCTTCCATTGATCAGTTTCAGAGTTTTCAGAAGAAATATCAACCTAATTTTTCGTCAGTAAGGCTAAGTGTCTTCCTCCCTCGCCCTTATTTGTTTTTTTTCTTCATAATAATCACTCAGAATTTCTCATAATAATCGCTCAGAGTTTCATGAAGATCGTCATTCTTGATGTTTCCGAATATCAAACACTGAATTGTTCTACATTTACACTTCAGCTCCTCCGTTTTATTTTTTCCAATATAAATTTAGTATCAATCCCAGTTCTACATCATTCTTCCACAATGTCTAGTATAGGACCCGTCCAGGTACATGAAATAGATTCAACGTCCGATCATTTCAGTACAAACTTCGCTCAATTTCTGCAGCGAATCTATGATCTTCCTGATGATTTCCCAGAACTAGTAGAACAAGGTGTGCAGGAGGAAGTAGATGTAGAGTTTGAGATGGCTGTTGACGACAACAATCTAGATGATTATGCGGACGATGTGATTAGTATATCATCTGATTCAGATGATTATGACGACGACATCATGAGTATATCATCTGATTCAGATGATTATGAGGGCGATATCATTAGTACATCATCTGATTTAGATGACGACACCATCATTATTGTTTCTGATGATGAAGAGCGTTAGTCCATATTATTGCATGGATTAATAAAAAAACAGCCCTTTTCAGGGCTACAATTGAAGGCTGAAACAAAAAAACAGCTCTTTTCAGAGCTATCATTATACTTTCACAGGTTCATACCATTGTTAACATTATGTTAACATTATAGTCTTAAACAAACAAAATGCATGTAAAAGTACCATCATCCCACCCTGTAGTACTCATCATTATATGCATTCAATGATTGACAAAATGCCAACTTCAACTTTCATTCAAAGTAGTACTCATCATATGCATAGATATTCAATGACTATCAAATTCCCAACTTCGACTTTTCAGTCAAAGAAGTACTCATCATATGCACAGATATTAACAAAATCCTAACTTTAACAAATGACTACTTTTAGTCAAAGTAGTCATTTGTCACATAATCTGTGAATTCTACTACTACTGTTTGTGTGAATTATGTAGCCCTGAAAAGGGCTGATTTTTTTTGACCTGTAGGTCCACGGTTATTGTGCTACAGGTTTGACATTGTTACATATGATGCATGTCGACACTCGGGTGAAGTGTGTTAGGGGCCTCTCGCAAGCATCACATCAATTCTGCCCCATTACCATAATAGAGACGGTGTTGTGGGTGTTGACATGATGATACCACCCTCCATTGTTATTTCTGTGTGAATAAAAACGAAAGCAGCATCAACATAGTTTCTTGTTACCACCATCAATTGTGCTGATCAACACGTATGCATCCATTGCACAATGTAAGTCCAATGGATCTTCTAATGTCTCACTGACAATGAGCATTCGCATACCGATCCTCAAAGCACCATCATCTCCAGTAAAATCAGCTACAATCCCTTCATCGTCTTCTTCTCCATCCACAACCCCCTCAAACTCCACCACGTCATCATCTTCATTGGCCTCATTTGCAACTTCATCTATCACATCATCATCGACTCCAATATCCTCTTCTTCAACTATTAGTTCCTCTAGTGGAATGTTGACATCCTCATCATCTGACTCGTCTATCCAATTATTTTCATCAATAGCAGATATGTTATTTAATGCAGCAGCTATTTTTCCAGAATCCATCTTGTTGTTTGCTCACACTTGTTTGCTCACAGTTGTAGAGTGAATGAATGAACTTCAGGATGGTAAGTCGACTCATATGATTGAATAGGAAGTGGAATTGGTACGACTCCCACCTAACACTTGACTCGTTTTGAGTGGGGGAGAAGGATAAGTTTCCCCACTATACTTTCACATGATGTTAATTTGTATAAATAGAGAATGTCGTTGTAAGAGAGAGCAGTCAGAGTTTCTATAAGTCATCTCTTATTATTTCTAAACGCATTAGTGAAAAGGCCGTTTCCAAAAGAGTGGGATGAAAAACCAAAAGTGTGTGTCTACCCAATGATGATAGGGGGATATTGTGTGCTACTTTTACCAAATAAGTAGACCTAATCCTTGCACTACTATGTGCAATGATTGTATGTCGCGGATTCAGCTGTCGCCTTTATCTCATCCACCGAAGCGGCCAAAAATTGAATATCGTCAGCAACAGTTACATTGCCTGAAGTGTTCCGAACCTATAATATCCAATAATATGGGTATTTGTAGAAATATTTGTGCTATCTGTGCTGCTATTCCAGCTCCGCTGCTACGTTGTTTGCGTTGTGATACATACACAACGAATTGTTGGAATCATGTATGCACTTCATGTAGAAGTACTTGGGATCTGTGTGAGAAGGTTGGTCAACGCTACCCCAATAGGAGAATTCATTTCCTTCAATGTTGCTGTCTGACACATGATCAACAAATATTGAGGAAAAGAATCCGTGTTAGGAATCATACGTTAAAAGGTAAGACCTCGTTAGTCCTTATCGCACAAGTTTCTCAACTTCTGAGAGTTGTCGTTCGTATGGGGGCGACAGCTGATTAACGGAAAAACAGATTTTAAACAGATTTTTTTTTAAACATTCTACAACGACAGAGACACATCAACACTTTTAATTTTTTTGTTATATTAATGTCATTGTCTCCTGTTATTAATAAATATATTATTTTGAATCTATTTGTGTTATTTTCTCACATTTTGAAATGCATGCAACAAAGTGTTCCTCTTGAATGACAAAGATCGTCACATGCGTGAACAGTTTAGTGAAAGAGCGCATGTGCTAGTCAATGAAAAAGTGGGCTAGTTGATGGAAGAGTGCATGTAAAAGCGCATGTGCTAGTCAATGAAAGAGTGGGCTAGTTGATAGAAGAGCGCATGCGTTAGTTTATTTTCTTCTATAAAAGGTGAAGTATCAGTAACATCATCACCTTTCCTATTCACATTCTATTGCTATCACATATCATTCCTCAGACCTGAATAATCATTACCATGAGCTCTATGCCGTTGTTGATTGCTGAAGATGGTTCACAACTTATTGATATCGATCACAAAGATTTTGAAAATATTCCAGTATTACATTTATCGAGTCAAGATTCGGTAAATGATTTTGATATTAACGACTTTGTTAACTTTGCAAATGTGCCGGAACCAAATGAGCAAATTGTTATCGAAAATCCAATCGTTCCGCAGTCATCACCACTCAAACACCCTTCATCTACCCTTCCTCTTGGTGTTGATAAGAAATCTAGAACAATCAAGAGGAAGGTTACTTATGCATCTTCATCGACTGTCACTGACTTCAGAGAAAAAAAAACAATCGAAAAGTGTTGTGCGAGAGAAAAACCCACAACGAAAAGTGACAGATCGAAGAGGAAGCCAAAAGCTTCACCAAAAGAAATGAAGGGTGATTTGAAAGCTGAATCGCTATCTTCTTTCAGTCCTCTACATCGGTTTGGAGGAATGAAAAAGAAAGCAAAATGCCACCTTGTAAAGGCGCAGATGGCTATTGCTGAACTTGAAAAGAGTGAGTGGGCTATAAATGCTAATAACGAAACTCTTCAAGCATTAGATGCTAAGATTGCATTATCGAAGGTTGAATTGGCTAAAATGTGTACGGATGCTGATGAACTCCGTTCAAAAATTGTTAAAGATAATCAATTCAATCAACGTTCGAGAATGCAAGCTCAGGCTGAGCTTGAGGAGTCGACTCAACTTTATGAGACGGCATTATCAGTGAGAGATAATTGGCGAAAAGAGTTGGAGACTGCAAAGTGACGGGGATTAGTTTTGGGAATGATAATGTATTTTCAATATCGTGAGTTGAAAAATATAAGCGGGAATTGAGTATACAATTAATTTGGTTTGGTATACACAGAACGTTGCGAATGGCTGGGGCAACGTTTACCGCTGCAATATTTTTCAATTCACATACTTATAATTGAAATGAAAACAATAATGAACTTTAATATTACTTTATTCATAAAAGNCCTCGTTTTGTCATCATCGCATTCCAAAGTACTACTACATCTGAGGATAGAACACAGGATATTACAAAATTCACAACTGCTGATATCAATAATATTCGAGTATACTTGAATTCTGAAGTTTATCCATATGAGCGTTGGAATTTGAATTTCAATAAAAAACTTGATGCTCCTGCTTATTATGCTTTCGAGAGTTTCCAGCGGAGTTATTATGATGAAGATATGAGTGCACCTCTGATGGACATTGGACAATTTAGAGAGAATCCACTATTCGTCATCGATTGCTCCCATCAAACGAATGTAACAAAGTCATCAACTATTGATATAAAGATTGAGTTTGAGACAAGGTGGATGGTTCAGTTCACAGCAGATATTGACACTCTTTGAATTATTGATACTATTTCATTTTTCCACTCTATCATGTACTGTTTTACGATTTTTTTTCTCTTTCATTTGTAACTGACTTATATCATGTATTGTAATTTTTCCTAATTCATATATATCATATTTATTGTTTTGTAATCATTTTCTATTATATATGATGGGATTTAAATAAATTAAACATGAAAATAATACAAAGTTTTTTTATTTGACAGTACTTATGATTTACAGGAACATACAGACTATCTAAAATAACTTCTTCCTCATAGTCATCATTTTCGCGACCATCTTCAATTTCCTCTCGATTTTCATCATTCAATTCAAAGTGATGAATAATCCATTCTGGCAAGTATGGTTGGAGGCTATACAGGAATCTTCTCAGGTTCAGTTCAATCATAACCTCACAAAATTGCCACAATTCCAATTCATTATCCAAAAATTTGTTACAAACTTCAGCGCCACTCCGATAGTTCTCAGCATCACGAAGACATTATTCGATTTGTTTTTCATCATAGCATACACTCATATCATAATTGCTTGCATGTTCAGCTCCATCACCCAACACCTTCAATTTAGACGACAAATGTTGAACCGATGATTTGAGATCTACAACATTGACCCAATCTTGACTTGCATACTGCATCCACATCTTTGAATGGTGGAACTGAAATCAAATAAAAAAAAACAATTAGCAACCTACAACTTGTTTCCATGATATAATACTCACATTCCCATTCTATTTGTACTTATAAAGTGAGTGTATTCAACTAAGTTAGTAATGTTTATATTTCCATATAATTATCATCTGAATTATCTAATATATGAATATTATTAAAAAAAAAAGAAATTCACTATACATAATTACTATTATTATTCAATCATACTGAATTTGACTAGAGATCGCGTTTTCATACCTGAATACACCTAAATACACCATCGTATATTTACCACCCGATGAGTTGATACAAGATATATCGTCATCACTGAATTGCAACGAAATACGTTTTGGTAGGCATGTTTTAAATAATTTATTATTGCTCACATCTTCCAAAGTCAATAAAATTGATTTTCCAAACCTTATAGAATAAGTTGACATATTCTTAATTATATATACTTCATCAATTTGTAATGATGATAAAGCCTTTTGCTCTAGTATTTCAACCTCCTGTACAATCAAATTATTGATTTTATTTAAGTCTACTTTTGAAACGGACATGATGAAAATATGTATTAAAATATAAACACTTTCCAACAGCAAAATACACTCACCATCTTCCTTCTATTACGAACTGAATAACACTCTACCAATTGCTTACTGCTACTGATTTCATAGTGTACCAGGCATTTCTTTTATGTTGAACAGCGCGAGTCACCCTCACCATGAAACCGTGAAAGGTTCACATTGCTTGTTGCTACCCACTAGAGATACCTGACGTCACAGCCAAACCCACCTTCCAACTGTATGCGATAACAGATGCCGATACGAACAGGCGGTGGTCGTTGTTTTCTCGGAGAGGGCAGACGTTAGCACAGTCCTCAGCCACCTACGTGTCACCATCGATAGCGAGGCTAGAGCGATGCGTTACGTCACAGCCTTATCCACTTCGAGAGAGGTGAGGGCACACCTATACGCATTACTCAGCCACACGTCGTGGAGTGAACATCTTGCTCTCTTATCGTTGAACGGTTGCTGCTGCTGTGACGTCACACCACTTCTAACTTGGTGGCCTCTCACCGATGGAGCATTCATTACTTGGAGAATCTTCGAAGTATGCAGACGTATGACGTACATAGACAAGCACATGATGAAACCCTGTACCGTGCATTCTTTCACACACACACACACACACACACACACACACACACAAAATCTCATATGAAAAAAAAATCTGAACGATCCATGAATCAGACACTTCAAGGTCACATCGCCTTGACTTCACTAAACAAAAAAAAGCAATTAATACGTCATAGTGGTGAGGGGAGACTTAGAACCGGAAAAAAAAATTCTGAACGATCCATGAATCAGACACTTCAAGGTCACATCGCCTTGACTTCACTAAACAAAAAAAAGCAATTAATACGTCATAGTGGTGAGGGGAGACTCAGAACCGGAAAAAAAAATTCTGAACGATCCATGAACCAGACACTTCAAGGTCACATCGCCTTGACTTCACTAAACAAAAAAAAGCAATTAATACGTCATAGTGGTGAGGGGAGACTCAGAACCGGAAAAAAAAATTCTGAACGATCCATGAACCAGACACTTCAAGGTCACATCACCTTGACATCACTAAACAACAACCAAAAAAAGCAATTAATACGTCATAGTGGTGGGGGGAGGGTTAGAACCGGCTCAAATCTCCTACTAATAACAAAAACTGAATAAATTATGGATGGTACATAGTCTTTCTGAAAATATAAAAGGAATTTTCAATATCCAAACGGTTTTCAAAACACTAAATTATCTTGGTTTGTTGAATAAAACTGTCGAACGAAACAGAAAAATCAAAAGTTTCTATGAAATGCATAGACATGGTGTAAACATCATTTTTACAAATTTGAATTGAAATGAGAATATACCATCGTCTCTTCTGAGAGAGAAAACTAGCAATGACATGTACCCAAAGCAAACATTTTTCTCAATAACTAGGAATGCAATACTTCAACCAAGTTGGCGTATTCAGTTTTATCTCCTGAAGATGCCAACTTCGATTTAAAACGCGCCAGTATTACATTTCTGGTGATTGGGTAGAGTGCTTGTTTTGTATTCATACCACGAATAATTTATTGTTTGCTCTTCAATGTAGTCATGAACATTCTTCATTCTCTTTGTTTTTCTTCAGATTGTCAGATTTATGTCTACAGTGATATACATTTCAATTCCTATCTCGAAAATATTGTTCAGTGGAGAAGGTGGAGACACTTTTTCCATACCCGGAATGCTTTTTTCGACGCTAATGTCATCAACCAATTAATGAATGGTTTTGACATAGCGTTAGGTTTCATCAAACAATTCTCAAAGTTTTTGCTACTAGGCCTCATCCAAGATATTACACTATCAACAAGACAACCGACAAATTGATAATTTGAATTGATTTGAAAAAGTACTAATATCAATTCTTCCACCATCTGAAAGAACATAATTTCATCGAAAGATAATACCTGATTGAGATAAAGATAACATATTATCAAGATATCAATCACAAATCACCAGAAAGGAGCAAATTTGCAAACAAAGGCATCCTGATATAATCGTGAAAATATGTCCCTTATAACGCAGTTATTTATGAGCACGAAACAAACATCCAACTGACACACCTGAGAAAGAAATGTTTTTTGCGAAGGTGATTAGCATACTGAGTATTCATTCAGCAATCTCTATTACAGCATGGGGAAGTGCTATAAGTGGAGGCTGCACCATTACTGAATTTTCTCAAGTGTCCCAAGTAGTGAACAGCTGTACGAATATAGTGGTGAAAAATTTGAATGTTCCTGCTCAGCAAACACTGCATATGAAACTGAAAAAAGAAAGTACTCTGTCATTTGAAGGTACCACTATCTTTGGAGTAGCCAATTGGGAAGGTCCTCTCATTAAAATTGAAGGCGACACTGTCAAAATAGATGGAGCAGGTAATTTTTCACATGATAGTGAACATTAGAAAAATATATACAAATTCTACGATGAAAAACTGAAAATTTCAAATTTGCATCACCTCTGGATACAAATAATGTTAAAGCTACAATTGAACTGACCCAATATGTTCCAAAGTATGATTTAATTACGAAAATGTAGATAGTACCATCACTTCATTCAAACTGCGAAAATTATGATGACTTAGAGAGTTTCCTTGAACTGTTCCAGATCTATCATTCTTGCATATGCGATACAAATACCACTTTTATGTTTCAATAACGTTAATGAAAACATTCCAGATATTCTCGAGTATGTTGAAATCATTTTGGTTCCTCCGATATTCATTTCAAATATTATCTCTTGAATTCATTATTAAAGTAACAACAAATTTATAGATATATTGTTTGCTGATTTTTCGAAATGAAAAAAAGTTACTAGGTATAATTTTGATCCATACGTATTTTCAGTTTCCATAAGTTATAGAACGTGTTGTCTGAAAATTTTCATTTTGGGATTATGTGAAGTTTTTTGCAGTTTGGCATCGCTACACTCTCAAGAAAGTGTAACAATTTGTTAAGAGATGAGTTGTAGTGGCATTTTTATTCCCGAGGTGATTATGAACATTAGATTTTCAAATTTGAATATGGATATCTCATCATATTGTTTTGAAACGATAAGTCAATACCAATTATGATCAAACATCTGCCAGAATTTTCCGTTTCCTTACTAAAAAATTCAAAAGATTCTCTGATAAACAAAATCATCCTAATTTTCATGACCTAGGGCTTTTACTTCATTCAGAGAATATAGTTTTGCCGTTAACTGGCTGTCACTTCCTCATGAATAACAACCCTCAGAAAATGAATCGTTTGAAAACTTCGAGACCCGCATGTAGCTTTTCAAAATCCACACATTCTTTTTTTTTATGAGTTTCCCATTTGCTTCCATAAAATGCAGCGGCTGTTTGGAAAACATAGATGATGATACTTATTTTTCAGAAGGTTCAAAATTTGATGGACAAGGAGCTGAATACTGGGATGGCAAAGGAGGTCAAGGTTCTAAGAAGCCACTCTTCTTCACATTTCAGGGAAGTGGAGAATTGACCAACATCAATTTACTCAACTGCCCAGAACGTTGTTCTGATGTTCATGGATCTCATATTACCATCGATCATTGGAATATCGATGTTTCTGCTGGAGATAAGGTAATAATAGAGGTGAATGTTTTCATCAGAGCAAGAAAATATACTAATCAGATCACACAAAACTCGCTTTATCATTTCATCGTTTTTAATTTCATTAAATGTTACACCAATACTGTGTTTTAGATATTTCGAAAATAAAACATAAATATCTGATAAGAAAGTGCTTTCTAGCTATGAATATTCTTGTGAACATTGATTTCGCAAAGGATCGGCCATACAACTCGCCTTATCATGCTGACTTGAATATTTTGGAATACATCCTTGGTTCTATTCGTCATATCCTCATTTGTAGATGGTGGTATTTTATGAACTTGATCTCCAACGTAGCCCAACATGAAAAATTAATTTTTGTCAAATCTGGTGAGCGAGGTGGCTACTTGAAAGGGCCTCCTTCCTCTGAAGATCTATCCATTGGAAAATGCAGTGCCTGAATAATTATCAGCAGAAACAGTATGGCGAACAGATACTCCATAGTAAATACCACATTCTTCATTTGATCCGAATGATTAAATTATTACTTGATTGTGGTAACTGGTTTTCCAAAAAATCGAGATGAATCAAACCATCAATTCTTTTTTCAAAGGAATATGGATCAATAATAATAATAAAATAATAATAAATGGTCTTTATTTCACGTGGTGGAGTTAAGCAAAGCGCTATTCTTCCAATCAACCACATTTGAAAAAAAAAAGAAACAATACAAAAGATGAATGGCAACTTCAGGACTATAGTAAGATTGAATTCAAATGTTTATGTTTGGATCACTGTTTGCTGAGCAATTCAGTTTCAAGTTTACTTTTGAATAGCGGTAGTGATGAATGTTTCAAAGATTCACTGAATGAATTATACATTGTTACAGCATGATACGTGAATGATCGTTCATAAATAGTACTATTATGATTCGGAATGTCAAAATTATTGTTAAATCTAAGGTTTCCTGATGATGATGAAATTTCTAATCATGCCGCCTCATAAATTCAAGGACCACTTTGTCTAACTGCTGGTTCGAACGAAATGGGAGTTATCTGTTGAATAATAATGGAAATTACGTATGTTTTCAAATATATTTTCATGAAATGTTGCTTCATCGGAAAATGAAACATATTTTGAATATCTCTTTGTCTTATAGCAACTATAGCCTATTCACAAAGTGTTTCTCTTTTTTCAAAATCATCATCTAATAACTAATGTAACTGAATACGGTATGGATAAAACGAAGCTCTGGGTTGACAAATATTTCTTCGGTACTCGTGGGAACACTACGGAAAATAAAGAAACATCAACACAAAGAAAAAGAAGGTTAGAGAAAGAAAAATTTAAATGAAATGAAAAACTTGCCAATGAAAGCGTTAACTTGAAACGCCAAAGACTTGACAAGGTTGAAATATGCATGCAAAGATCAAGAGCAGCCGAATCCGACGATCAACGTGACCTAAGAACATAACTCTCAAATTAGAGCAGCCGAGTCCACCAAATAGCGTGAGGCTCGTTTAAGTGCGTTAAGAGTACATAACTCTCAAGTACGAACACAAAAAGTAGGTACCTACCTACTTCTACAGAATATAGTTTATTCTAATAATAGTTTGTCCCGTTGAAGGACTTTCCGTTATATAGATTGACTTTCGTATTGGTCGATAACTATCGATTGGAACTAAAAAATATACAATAAAATAATGATAAAAAAAATGTTCAAAACAAGCTTTTATTAAGGTGCCCTAAAAAGATCAAAATAAAATTTCAAATCACATTAACCACATTCATTTATGCTTGTCGCGACAAGCTTTTATTATAATTTCAATTCTGCAAAGTCATAAATGAATGTGTTTAATGTGATTTAAAATTTAAATAAACATTTTTGACAGTCCGGATTATATTAGTTTGTTCGGATATTTGTCTATTTGAGATATAAGGATCTTCTGTAACTTCCAAAAGGACAGTAATTCCAGTTTCTTGAGTTTTTCTATTTTGTTATATGCGACATTTTTCGTTCGAGTAAATCGAAGAAGCACATTTTCCAACGCTTCTTTTCTAAGTTGTTGCCTGTCTGGATATCGTTCATTATAAATTCTTGTCGCCAATAAACAGTTATTATCACTAGCCCCGAATCATGTGGGTCAATTTATCGGTGGAGAAATTCATTTCAAATGCTTTTATCTTAATACCTAGTAATACTTTGTTGCTGAAAATAGAATAAAACTTCTAAAATTCTCAAAAACGCCCTAATATGAGCATTCTAGAACAATAAAGATGTTTTGGAGAAAAGATCCAACATTCAAAATTATACTTTTGGATTATTTTTTCGTAGACTACATTCGACATCGGTAGATAATAATTTTTATGAATCTGGGTGATGAATAAACGTTGTTTATTCTCAATGCTAGTACATATTTGTATAATTATTAGTGCTTTAATGTAATTTGAGTATATTCTAACCCATGATTGTTCTGATTCAGTCACGAGCTTAAATTCTTGCTAATGAAGTTGATGGAATGATGGATATTATATTTTCAATTTGTTCGTAATTCTCTACCAACAGATTCTATTACTCCATGATGCTGTTATTCTCTTGTTAATTTAAATGATTTTACTTTTTGTGTCAAATTCTTTAACAGATGGATATTTCAATATCTGTGTTTTAAAAATACATAGTCTGAAAGTTCTTCTCCAAGTTTGTTGGCCGTGGTCTTCAAGTTGACTGATGTTTCGTTTACGATTATTGGGCATGAATTAGTACCTATTGGTTGAATCAAATATCCTGACATCTAAGCAATTGAGTTCAGTTCGTCAGATTTGATTAGATAGAAAAATATTTATTGTTTAAAGGAACATGTACATTCGAATATTTCATACAATTTGTTGGAAAAACATTGAATTATTGATGAAAAACCCCAATTTTAAAATGTTCTACAGAGTGGATCAAATTGGACACTGGTGAAGGAAAACTCCTGTTTTCAATCTGGATAGATAAAAACTGTGGCTCAATGTCGAATTATTTGACAAACTAAATGGTAAAAACCACATATCGATATATATGATCGTTTCGGAGTTACAGTATGTTTCTAAAAAAATGTGCATTTTGAAAAGTTGATGTCGAAAATATCTTGTTTCTGTGAAAACATTTTTTATTTACGATTGATGTTTTGCTAGAGTCATCTTTGAAATGCAGAGCTTATAGGTTTTTTCATGTAGACTTTGAAACGCACACTTTGATCAAGTAGTCTTTGGACAGAGGGGCGATAAAAAAGTGAGAAATTGCTCAGTAGTAGCTATTAAATGTTGGGAAAGCTTTTCATATCAGTAATTGAAACGTTTAGTTTCAATTACTGCTGTGAAACTTCAACAATATTGATAATAATTATAATTTCTTCAGAGAAAGTGTTTGGAATTCTTATCAGCTTCTCCTACACACACAGAAATCGTTTCGGATCATTTTTTGCTAAATTAATTAGTTCAATAGGAGTGAGAGAAGCAAAACTTTGCATCACTGCCGCTTCCACTTCGTATCTACAATTGGTTGGCAATTTGAGAATGAGATATTTTAGCTACCTCTAGGAAGTGAAAGTCCAAAGACGTTGGGTCCGGTGACCTGGCTGGTCAACGGTTGGGTCCTTGGATGGCTTTCCAATTATTACCAAAATTGGCAGCCATAAAATTGGTGACGATTGTATTGTTATGAGGAGTAGCCTCATCTTGTTGAAAATACATTTTTCTGAGCGAAATGCACATCTTCAAAAAACATGTTGTAACTCAGATGAGTTTGTCATGAAATGTAACCGTCAGACACAGCCATCAGTTTTTATCTATCTGGTTTGAAAACAGCAATTTCCCTTCAAAAGTATTCTATTTGGTCCACTCAGTACATGAGTATCCTGCAGAAGAGGGCGTAATATTGTTGAAAAACCATACTGGAGAAAGTGTAGGAGTTATGTAGGTCTCATAGGCGACACATAGTGGGCACTCAAATAATACGTGATGAATTGTTTCGGACTGTTGTGGGTTACAGATGGTGCGAAGTTCAGTCGAATTCAATCGATAGAACGATAAACGTGTTTACAAATTCCCTGAATATGAAAATATTTTCAGAGAACTCGAATTAACTGCATTGTTCAATAGAACTTGTTATGGATAAAAAGGGAATGTCAACATCACGAAATTCATTGGAGTTTTTGATAAATTGTTAGATTTACTACGTTCCACTTTGCTTCGTTCAGTTCTTCCAAAGAAGTGTGATAGTCCGCAATCATTCTTCATTTTTTTTTCTCCAATTGCAGTGCCCAGTTGGATTGGGCGTTCGAACTAGTTGATCTACTCAATTTTACAAGACGTTTGTGGCAGATTATGGGTTGCCAGTTTGTTTCTATTATGATGTATGTAATTCATTCTGAGTTACACGGCACAAAGTGTGTTTGAAAATTGATACAGGTCCATAATTAGAAGTGATGGTAGAGAGATTGAAGAGGCGTTTGGATGACATACGTCAATATATCGTAGATCCCACACTAGGACGATAACCAACAGCAAACTTTGAGCTGATATTTCAAAAAGTTGAGCCCGAGTATTCCAGCTATATATTCTAGCAATGGTTTGATTCTAACATTGTTGACTTCCACTGCCCTTTCCTTGAAGTTTGTTTATGAATTTCAGTCACCTTTCAGTTTATTCAAAATCAAGTCGGCACTATTGCCACTGATAGTGATAGTAACAGAAAAACAATTGACTATCGCGTTTTCGATTCATGTAAAAAATTATATCTTTTCTGGATAAAACACCCTGTATTTTTCTACCTAAATGGATTGCCATCTGTTTCTTGGAATTGAAAGGTAATTTTGAATTCTATCCTCACGGAGTTATGCCTTTTTCACTCTTCGTCAAGTTTGCCACTAATCTTAAACAAAATAATAAATATCTGTTGCGAAATTTGCTATTCAATATGTTGAACGCAATGTGAGTTATAATCAAGTCACGATACATTTGGTTCAAGGATTGTGTGAGTTGAATAG